TCCAATGCTAGTAATTCTGTTGAAATTTTTCAATTGGTTTTAACGAAAATTCCAATGGTAGATTTATCAACGGGGTAGAAATAATTTCAACGGAAATTCCAACGAAAATATTATATCAGGAGTTTTCTAAGGGAAGTTTAGATGGAATTTGATGATTCCAACGAAAATATTCCGTTGGAATTAGTTTTCTAGGAGAATTTTAGATGGAATTTGATGATTCCAATAGCTTTTTACAGTAGGAATTTCTGTTAGTGTCATTCCAACGAGAACTGTACAATTGGAATATCTGTTGGTATATTATATATTACAGTAGAATTTTTCATTGAAATATAACAATTTTTTTGTAGTGGAATATTATTTTGTCATCTTCCGACAAGCTTATGTGTTCTATGAAAAATTTGTTGCTAGGCAAACAAATAAGTTAAAGGAAAATCTTCTATTTAAATTGATTAAGGTCCTAATAATTGTAAGAAAGGAATGACCGTTACATGTATGTATTTGTTGGAACTACATATAGGTTAACAACTGAAAAAATAGGCAACACATGCAAAGAAGGAAGGGCAGTAGGATATACCGGCTGACTTCGAACTCCGACCAGCCAATTAGTAGGAAGAAAATGGTACCGTCAAGTAGCTCGACCAACGTGAGAGGTTTAAATACGTTCAACCAACGAGATTAGTCTCTAAGTCAGGCTTTCTCTCTTTCCTCGTAAAATAAAGTTCGTACTAAGATCCATGATTCATGGTCTTTTTGAAGGATAAGTTTCATATCCTTAAAATTGTATGCCATATATGACTTGATTGGAAATCTTGATATTGTGTCATTACTTGTGATTTTTACTTGATTTTATTTAAGGATATCTTGCATAAGTATCCTCATTGATGTTTATATTATGGGCATTAAATAACTGTGAGAGAAAATTGTTTTGGATGATAATATCTTAATCTTTCTAATTTTGAAATAGTTAGACGCGCGTGTGTTAGTGGATTTGTGCGTTCAATTTTGATGGAAATATTCTTACTACATAGTATCCAACTTTTTGCTCAGATTCTTTAATCATTTTTCGAACCTTACCCGTTAGGTCCTGACATTATTCATTAAGTATCTCTCATTATATTTCGTCGTCTACAGAGGCTCAGAACCCTAATTCATTTGTGAATATGCTTATAAACTATACAAATTTTGGAGTGAAAAGTGGAATTTTCTTTTAACTGTATTTAGAGATAAGGAATCTCTTGTCTCATAAATCAAGATTTTGGACTCATCCAAACAAGCCTTTTTTTTTTATTTTTTTTTTCAATTTTGTTACTCGATCACTGTCAAAACATTTTTTTGAATCAATTAAATTATTTTTTAAATCAATGTAGTTGGTAAATAAAATAATTTAGTTTAAGAGAAAGCATAATTTATACTAACGTAAGTCCTTGCGTGTCCGAGAGCATGAACTTGTACGAATATCGTTCGTTTTTTGTTTTTTGTTTTTTTTTTTAAATGTATTGCTAGATTACTTACAGTTTAAAATATTATTTTCTAAGAAATAAAACTTATATAATTAATGGTCTACTAATATTCAAGAATAATTCGCCACTTTAAAGCAACATTATAGCAGTTTTAGTCATTAATTTAGGAGAAAAATTCAAAACTAGTCCCACAGGTATAGGAGGTGACTTTTTGGTCCCAACGGAATGCAAAAAATATAAATAGTCCCACAACTTTTAAAAAACGATCAAAAGTAGAAATTTTTGCCGGATTTTACTGTTTTCGGCCCGGAATGCCACGTGTGCGTTTTACACGCTGGCATCCGACGTGGATATGAAAAAAACCAAAACTAGTCCCACAGGTATAGGGAGGTGACATTTTTAGTCCCACTAGTATAGGAAGGTGACATTTTTGGTCCCACAAGTATGCAAAAATATGCAACAAAATATGTCACGTGTGCGCCACGTGGCATTCCGGGCCAGAAACAGTAAAATCCGGCAAAAAGTCCTACTTTTGATTATTTTTTAAAAGTTGTGGAACTATTTATTTTTTTTGCATTCCGTTGGGACCAAAATTGTCACCCCGCCTATACCTATGGGACTAGTTTTGAATTTTTCCCTTAATTTAGAGTGTATCCGTTTTGCCTAGTAAACTTATGGGGATTCGAAATTGGTTCGGATGTAAACTTTTACCAATTTGGTCCAATAACTCTAAAACATAAGGGTTAGTGAACTAATTTTAACTACCGAGTTTCAGCGTTCAGGATCAAAATTGGACCAAATTAGCTAAAATTGAAGTGTTATTGGACTAATTTCGGACCCCAATAAGTTGCTGGCTAAAAATAAAAGTTAGTGGACAAAAAGTGCAATTTTCCCAACAATATTGCAATTTAAAAGATAGTTCCGTTATACAGTTCTCGGTGAGTACGAGTTAATATGTTCACAATCGTTAATATGTTCACAATCAAATGTGGTGGAAGGTTATAGTATGATACACTGTTGGTATTGTATTACAAGATCTTGACATTTGATTTTCATTTGTTTAAAATTAATTGGATAAATATGAATCATTATGAGTTGTATGCTTGTTCATAGATTTTTTTTTAAAAAAAAATATCATATAAAATATTAAATAATAACAAAATAAATTATATTTTATTTATGATGTTTATTGTATCTTCTAGTTAATAATATTCAATCATTGGAAATATAAATTAATATTTATCAACCTAATATTCTTTAACTTTATGAATTATAATTAATAACTCTTTAGTTACTTTCATATTTGATATTTACTTATATTTTTTATTTGAACATTATTGTAACCTTCATTCCTTTTTATAACTTAAGAGTAAACGTAGTTTTTAATTAAAATTTTGTCCACATTCATTATATTTTTTTAAATAAATTCAAGAAAATATTATTTCATACGAAAATATATAGTTCCAGTTGTATCTTTTAATTTGGTTTGACATCGTTTTTTTTTTTGTTTTT